AGTTTAATTTGTTGATTTAGAGTGATGGATCTGAGCGAGTTGTGGAGTTTGGTCAGCTCGACGGTTCTGGAGAGCGACACACGAAGAGTCGGTTTGTAGATGCCGACGTTCCTCTGGAGAGGGAGGCGAGGATCCGTGAGGCTAAGTTAGCTCAGGCTGAGATGGCTAGGAGATTGCCACCGATCGTTCCTTCAGGACCGAGTGGTCAGCAGAGCGGTGGGCAGCCCAGCTCATCGATGGCTGGCAGTATGCCGACAAGGATACGTATTCGTCAGTCGTCGGCTCCGATCGTCGAGAGTCCGGTCCACTATTATCAGCAGGACGATGACCAGGACGATGATGAGGGCGAGGAGCCTGACTCTGGAGATGAGCAGACCGCGTCACTTTCTCCTTCCCCTGTACACCGGTACGACCTGCTCCTCCACGACAGGCTGGGGGCCGTTTTGCGGGTACTGCATCCTCCTCTGGTAAATATTCTACGTACTTTAATTTTTTATTGTTAGTTGTATATACTTTTATTTACTAATAGCATATCATTGATATAGTTAGTCAAAATATGTCGTGTATATATCTAACATGTAATTGTCTAGTTGTCTATTTTGTCAGTTACATAAATTTTTATTTAGTAATATTATTTAGTTATGTAATTAATTTAATAATATTTATATAAATTCAAAATAAATATTGTGTTGTCTGAGGAACATAAAATGATTTATTACGTTGGTAAATATCAAAAAATTATTCTCTTACAATACTTTAATGCACAAAATTTATTTTCATTTCATCTAACAAGGTAATTTTATATTTAACTATCAAATCTACAATAGGACATGATTTTCCTAAAAATTTTATTATTCATAAAAAATTTATATTTTTTCTTTTCAAGTTATTAGTATAATTAAAAATAAAATCACTCACTCCTATATTTTGTTCTTAATTTATTAGAATAATTTTTAAATAGAATGAATGAATACTACATTTATATTTGAGTTTTAATGGAATAATTAGTTATTTATAGATTATTAAAAAAAATCTTTTAATTAACTAAATAATCAGTCACAATATGGCGTGTATATATCTATACTTATTTGTTGTATTGTAAATGCAGGTTCGAGTAGCAAGCGGGCTAAGGGTGAGGAGTCTTGGGTCGTTAAAGCCCCAGTACCCGGTGGCCCCAGTGACGGGAGCGTTATCCCTAGCTTTCTAGGGCACGTGGCCTCCCGTATGACGTTGCTTGGACCAGACAGGCATGTTAGAGGCATATTGAAATGCCAAAACAGGCATGGAGCGCACGGCACTCTGAAGGAGTGGCTGGCCGAGATGGATCCCGAGCCACGTGCTTTGATAGATCAGTCGGGGATGTCACATCTGGCGGACTCCATGCATGCGCACCTGGACACTCCACTACTTTCTGCATTCGTGGAGCGCTGGCAGCCCGATACTAACTCGTTTCACCTGCCGTTTAGTGAAATGAGTATAATGTTGCACGATGTTCGGGCCATTTTGGGGATTCCCGTGGAGGGGCGTTTAGTGGCAGCGGACCCGACCGCTGAGAGACTCCGTGCGTACTGCATGGAGATGCTGGGGGTGGACCAGAGAGAGCTGATGGACACCTACTGGGATCACGGCGCGGTGACCACTGCCGCTGTTTCGGGCGCATTCAGGTCGCTGGACGAGTCTCGGCCGGCTGACCAGGAGGCAGCCGCATGGCTGTGGATGGCGATGGGTACCACCTTGTTCGCGGACAAGAGTGGTAACAGGATTACTCCGAAGGTCCTACACGAGATTATCGAGGACACGGCTAAAGTTCCGTAGTACTCCTGGGGCTCGGCTACACTGGCATACCTATACAGACAGTTAGGTGTTGCCAGTATGGGGACGCCAAGGGACTGACTGGCTGTTTGGCTCTCCTGCATACCTGGATTTTCGAGTACTTCCTGCCCTTCCGCCCCCACGAGGCGCCCCGGCCTATAGATGGCTCTCCCGCACGTTCTACCTGGTGGAGCACGGCGGTAACTCAGAGGTCCGCAGACCGCCTTCAGGTTTACCGTGTTGCCCTTGACCAGCTCAGGGTGGACCAGGTACGTGAATGTTATAAGTGTTATTTACATTTTGTTAAATATTATTTTTTAAAAAATATGAGTGTTATAATAAATGTTTGTGTGCAATTTTGAACAGGTGAACTGGTTGCCGTACGGCCGCAACCCCGCTGATATCGAGGCTAGGACCCTCTATGCTGGGTGCATTAGGTACCGCGACATCGTGGAGCCCTACAATCCTCTGCGGTTGTTGCGTCAGCTGGGCTACGTGCAGCGTATCCCTCCCAAGATCTGTCGGCCATCCAGTGTAGTACGGGCTTGGGAGTCTCGATTGTACAAGGTCGAGCACTCTGCAGAAGCTGCGGATGATTCCAGGGACGATTTCCCGCAGCTGTCAGCCGTCAACCTGGCTGCCTACACCCCCACCACAGTTACACCAGGGGAGGTCGAGCCGGGGTACTCCAAGTGGTTCGCTAGGGTTTCTCGTCCGAAGCTGTTGGGTGGCGATCCCACGGAGCCTCCCCCAGTCCCTTTGCGCGTCGATGCTTCTTATGTAAGTCGTTTATTTATTTTATTTTTGTTTTCAATGTGTGCTTTCATTATAATGTTTATTTATTGTAACTCTTCGATTTGTGGATAGTGGATCAAGCGTTTCGACGACGTCCACTCTGCGTACATATCGCGGTTCGAGCGTGTTGATCCTGTCTTGACGAAGGAGTATGTAGACGCTTGGTCCGTAGTTAAGGCGGATTGGGATAGAGCGACGCAGCGTTGACGTTTTATGGAAATAATGTTGTTTTTTTTATTTACTGTACGCTCGACTTTTGGTTGAATTGTTCTTCTTTATTTACTGTACGCTCGACTTTTGGTTGTTTTTTTTTTATTTACTGTGGGTTCGGTTGTTGATTGGGTTGTTTTTTTTTTATATGTCGTTACTCATTCACATTATGTTTTTATATTTTTGATATGCTATACTATATTATAATTAAAAAAATACATCAACTCAAAATCGAAGTCAATGAAATAAATAAGTTCAAAATAACAAATAATCACAACCGAATATAATAAGAATATCAAGACTTAGGTGCATCACGAATCCTGGTCCACGCAGCTATTCTACTGCTGTAGTAATTCTCCCAACCGATAACCGACTCATCTCGAAGTGACATCCAAAAAGGGCATATAGGCGGTATTGGATGGTCGGGCGCCAAATTAACACGAATGAAGTGTGGGTAACTACCAAGGTGACACAAGACGATCTCTCGCTCCGGATATGTAGCCGTCGATGGTGCGACGAGAGGCAGTACAGTAGAACTATAAAAGGTGGGATTGTCACCACACTCACCCATGCCTATCAAGACCACAACTGCATTAAAAAATGTGGC